GGCGCTCCGTTTTCAGGCGCGGTCAACGAAAAGGGTATCGACGACTATGTTCTGGCAATCGTCCGCGAAGGAGTGCGCTTCGCAAGCGGGACAAACTCGATGGCATGTTGTGATGGAGACAACGCGATCAACAAACGTTGTGACAAGTTTCTCGAAACCCGGACATACTGCTACGAAGGTGAACGCACCGAAAGGCAGCATTCAGAGTGCAGGGCTGATTGAGCGCAGCAACAACGAGGTTGAGAAGCAGCGCGCGGCCCTGAAGCACAGGCTGGAGTCCGTCAACAAGCAGGCGTTCCAGCTCAGCCAGCAGGTGCAGCCTTGGCTTGTGAGACACTCGAGTTGGCTCATCGTCCGTTTTCTCGTCAAGGCACACGGAAAGACGCCGTGCGAGCGCCTGCGTGGCAAGCCATGCAACGGCGAGGTCGTGGAGTTCGGGGGGTGCGCCTACCGCAAAAGTCCTTTGAGCGAAGTGGGCAAGGCGGACGACCGCTGGCACCTCGGTGTCTGGCTCGGGTAATTCGAGCACCTCGTCGGCACTGCGAAGGGAATGCTGTCGTGCAGGTGAATATGGCGGAGGCCGGAAAAAGGACAGATGGGGCGCGCAGCTGCTTGACCGAGTCGTCGACTCTCCTGAGGCCCCGGTGCCCCCAGGAGTCAAGGAGGTCAAGCCCCGTGAGGTGTACATCACCCTCGACCGGACCATCCGCCTCGGCGCGACTCCCGCTTGCCCTGGCTGTCGCGCGCCAGGAGATGCAAGGCGCGCAGTAGAGTGCCGGGAGAGGTTCGGCAAATTTGCAGGAGCTGAACTGGAGGACGCCGCCAGGCGGGAGCGCGAGGAGGCGCAGCCAGCGGCGCCTGATGCCGCACAACGCGCAGTGGCACCTGATGCCGCGCAGCCAGCAGCGCACGCTGCTTCAGCACGCCCGCCTGGAGCTGCGCCGCTTTGGGGTGCGCAAGCTGGCCGTCAAGAGCGGCAGCAGCAGCTGCGCGTGGAGGGGCAGCATGCAGCGGGCGGCGCCTCCGGAAGTCCAAGTGGGCGCAGCACGAGTAGGCCAGGATTTTCGCGACGTCGAGATGGGTGGGGAGCCGCCGGAATACTCCCAGGCAAAGAGGTCCCAGCTACACCCGGGCTGCCGACTCTACACGAGCCAGCTGTAGTGGCAGCTGCGTTTGGGACGCGCGCGTCTAACAGCGACCCGCAGGTATGTCCTGCACAGATGGAGTGGGACAAGGACTACTCTTCCACAAAAGCAGGCATCAAGCTAGAACCTCAGACGGTGCTAAAAGGGAATATCCGCGATATGACCCAAATAGAAGCCCATGGTGCGAAGGAAGACATCCCATGGTCCACGGCCAGGGAAAGGAAACTGAAGGTTGTAAGCTCGAAGTGGGCACTTGAACCCAAACCGACCGCCGAAGACCCGGAGGCGGTGCGGGCCAGGCATGTAGCAGCAGAGATCAACGCGTATGCGCGCGAAGATGTGACGCAAAACGCACATCCAGTGAAAGTTTTCCGGATCATTGTGTCGCTAGCCGCGTCCAAGCAGAGGGCGGACGGGTCATGGTCTAGGTTCGTGGCCGGCGACGACGTGTCGGTCGCTTTCCTCCACGCAGACAGCAACCGCTTTACGGCAATCATCCCGCCGTGAGATGTGCGCAGAAAAGGATGCGTGTGCTTGTTGTTGGAAGTCATGTGAGGCTTCGAAACGATTAGGTCGATATGTGATACACCCTTGAGCCTCGAAAGGTTTCGAACTTGTTGTGGTTGTTCCAATGACATTATTGCACAGAGCACTTGATGTGCGCAAGCACTTCGAAGTGAAGATCTTGCCTCGAGTCGCCCCCCCAGAGTTCGGCGGACAGGCGGCGACCAGAAGGCACCTGAAGAGGACGATCCGCTGGGCCACATCCGGGTTTGAGCGGGAGTGCAACCCGCAGAAAATCTTCGATCTCGTCGACCTCCAGGGCCTCGAGGGCCTCGCGCTGGGTGTGTCCAAGGGTGCGAGCGCGCCGGCGTCCAAAGATACCGGGAAGGGCGATAGAGACGTCCACGATCCTCTTGGGAGGGGCGGCGCTGCGCTCTTCAGGACAGGAGCGGGGACGCTGCAGTACTTCAGAAGACACGCCCACGGTCAAGTTTGCAGCCTGTGGGATCATGGAGGGGATGAGGAAGCATCTCAGGATTCACCAGATGGGGTTGGCACGCTGCAGCCGGCACCTGCTGGGCCACCCAGGAGAAGTGTGGCCCGTCGACTACCAGGAGATGCCGTCGTCTTTTACGGAGTGTTGCGACTCCGATTGGGCAGCAGGCCGGAAGACGAGGAAGAGCGTGAGTTGTGTCGTCGAGAATTTCGGGAAACATTTGCATGATGCAAACGTGTCGAAAGAGGTTTTCTTAGCTCTCTCGAGCGGGGGGCTGAAGATTTATGCTATCATCAAAGGCACAGCGCAACCCGTGCAGACGAGCCAGGTGATTTCATCTTACACCGTCCGCGAGTGCAACATTGAGGTTTTAAGTGGCTCGGGGGCAGCACGGGGAATCTGCAACCGGCAAGGGAGCGACAAGGTGAGGCACCTGTCCGCGAAAGACCTCTGGGTGCACCCATTCTTCCGGGACAACCGCGGCAAGCTAAATAATATTGATGGAGAAGTCAATTGGGCAGACCTGGCTCGGCTACAGCAGCTAGTAAACGTGATGCCTCAGAGGTGGAACGAACCCTTGAGGAGTGAAAGGAGGAAGGGCTTGAGCTCAGGCAGGGTTGCGTCGTTTCTGGCGGTGTTGAATCCTTGCAAGTAGTAGTTGGCCCTGAGCTCGCGAGCAACACCAAATAGTGGATCCTGAGTCTGCGAACGGCAGCGGGCCTTGACTCCGCGCGCGAGGACGCTGCGCACGCTCAGCCCGCAGCGCGGCAACCGGGAAGGCGGCAGAAACCTGCCACAATCCCGCAATACCAACACCATGCATGGCTATGATGGTGGACTCCACATATATACGCTATGCCAGGTGTTGTTGGCAAGCCCGGCTGCTAGGAGCTGCCGGGTGGAGTGTGCCGTGAGCACGCCGCACGTCCGTGCAAGGGGTACGTGTGTGTATATATACATATATGTATATGTATGTATATATATATATGTGTGTATGTACGTATGTATGTATGTATGCATGTATGTGTGTATGTATATATATACATACATTTGCACATCGTGTAAGCTTTAAGCAGCACGGCTTGTACACACAACAACTGAAACAAAGCCCCGTCTATGGATTTAGCGGGCCATCTGCTCATGGATTAGACAAATGAGGGGGCGTCTACAGGAGGCTGGAGTCTGATCAATTCTCTCTTGACACTGAGCGAGCCGGAAAGGCAGGGACTGGCACTGAGCGGATGGTGCATCCAGCACCTTGAAAGTGAAGCGCGGCTCCGGGAGCCGCCCCGCGCATGCCGACCACCCAGCGGAGCCTGAATCCGCAGAGAGGCCGGGAGCACGCTTAGGAAACCTTTTTGCTTGGGTCTATGTACAGTCTCTGACCAGACAGCCAGGTCTCGGCAGAGTGGAGGGGTGTTGAGTTCCATAGCATGATCTGTGTAACTGTATGGGAGGTGGTAGGTAGCAGCAGGGAGTAGGTAGCGGAAACAGTAGCGGGGAGCATCATAAGCATGTTGCATTTCATTGCAGCCCTTTCGGTCCCGAGCGCAGGGAAAACGGACAGATCTCTTCCCCTCTTCCTCCGCGCGCGCGCCGCCGCGACGCGTCTTGTTGTGATATCAGGGAGGCCGTTTCTCCGCCCTGTGTGCGGCCAGGGTCAGTGCTGGGCCACCTTCAGCCCTCCTCCCAGCCCGCCCGCAGCGCCGCCTCGTCACCGTGCCAATCGCACGCCGTGACTTTGCCGACTGTGCTTGCCTTGTTGCAGCAGCTGCCTGCAGTATTCGTGGCGTGCGGTTCCGCCCGTGGTCTTCGCTCGAGTGCCTCGGCAATCTGGCGTCCGCCTGCGGGTGCCCGATTCAGCCATCTGGCACCAGCTGCTGTTGAGGGTATTGGTTGCTCGCTGCTGCCATCGCCATGTTGGCTATGTCTCCTCTTCACCTTGCTTCTCCTCTCCCTCGGCGGCGAGCGAGGAGGGGAAATGAGAAGGACAACGCCTTCTCAGAAGGCGTCGGGGCTTCTCAGAAGCCTTCGCGCCTTCTGAGAAGCGTCCCGCGTCTTCGGGGAAGGCTCAGAAAACTTGTCAGAAGGCCGGGGCATTTCCGAATCTTCTGAGAAGGCCTTCTCCTTTTCACTTCCCCCCCTCACTCGCCGCCGACTCCTTTGATGGGCCTGTTTTCCACCACCACCACCATAAGTTGGAGGGTGGGGTCCTCCTCCTCCTCCTCCTCCTCTTCCTCCTCGTCCTCCTCCTCCTTCCCCCATCCGATGTGTGGTGGTGGGGAAACGAGCCCATCATCCCTCCCCCGCCCCCTCTGCAGCCAAGACACCGAGGCACGTGCCGGCCTGGGTTCCAGCCGGCAATCGATCCGTTCCGCAGTAGATATGGGTCGGGGGACCTGCTCGTGGCCGAGGCTCGCCGTGGCGAGACGAGCCCTTTCGTTCCTTGGTTGGCTTTCCTATTTGTGGCGCGATGTACGGTGCTCCCATCGTGCACATTGTCCATTTCTATGTATTTGAAGGTTTTTTGATTTTCGCGGGGCCGAGATCCTTTCAGTTCTAATTGTTCTATCCTGGGCCTGTTCCTGGCCACTAGGGGGCCAATAACAATTATAAACGAGCACGCTTAGACATGACTAAGATTAGAAATGAACGACGTGCGCTTTAGGACCACATCCCAGAAATTATTCTGAGCACCCAGGGAGTAGTGGAAGCAGTGCCGAACTAGTATCGCATGCCAGGGTCCGACGCGTGAAAGCCCTTACGTTTCGTTTCTTTATTGGTGCTCGAAGTTCTTTCTGGTGATCAAGGCTCAAGTAGGGTGGAATATCATAAGGCACGATGACTGTTCGAAGGTGCTGGACGTGGCAAAAGAGAGCACGAAGGAGCAGCGCGAGCGCGTGCTGACAGAGCACTACGTGAAGGAGGCCCAGAGACAGGCGTCGGACGTCAAGACAGGATAGTCATGGAACGTGGCACGCATATCTCAGGCATCCAGCGCATCGAATACATTGAGGCGGCCGGTATGTCGCCATTTGTGGCAGCTGGTGCCCTCTTCCGGGGCCTCGGGACCGTCAGACAACGATTTAGGAGGAACAACTTATTATTGTGAAAGTATTTTGATTTGCCGAGGCGCACGCATCGAAACGCACGAAGCGCCAGATGCCTGGGACACGATGCCAGCACATGGACCCCAAACAGTTCATTCATATAGTAGGCGTGGGGACCCAGCGTGTGGAACGCCAGGCGTCTGGCACCGCAGCCAAGCTACAGGAGGCCAAGCAGCCACCCGCAGGGACCCATAGAAGGTTCAACAACAGAGGGCCTTGGGAGGCCCAGCAGCCAAAGGAAAACGTACGACGTGCACACGAGGCCAATCCATTGGAGGCCATGGAAGGCCAAGCAGCCTTTGGAAAACTTGCGGCGCGCAGCTCCAGCGCGGGGGGAAGCCAATAGGAACACCCTGTACGAGGCCAAACCATAGAGGGCCATACAGGAGTGCGAGCGGCCACTGGCCAACGCGCGACACGTGAGGCCCGCGTGCCCACGTCGCAGGCGAGAACCTCTGGAAGCAGGCACTTGGCCTGGGGGGGTCAGTCCAGTGAGCCTCGCAGACCCTGGTCTGTCCTCCGGGCTGGATCGGGCAACCTATCAGGACGACTTGCCCACCGGTCGGGGTCGAGCGGGCGGCGCTGGGACCCGGATAGGTCATTCCAGAGCATTCCAGAGCTCTCTCAGACGCTCCCAGAACGCTTTTTATGACGGACGCGGCGCATGAAACATGTTTAGAATCGCCGGATCTCAAAGATAATTCGGTTCGTTCTGATTCTTGTTCGGGTCATGCATTCGTCTTGTTCTGGCCCAGATCGGTGGGGCCTCGGTCATGGATGCGCCCCCCACGCTTCGGGATGGGGCGGTCTTCAGGAGGGGCAAATCGGCAAAACACACAAATGAGAATTGCAGGAGAAGAGAAGCATCCAGGACACATTGAACAATCTATGGAATCCGCGAGTTAGCGTCGATCTAATTGTGCATCGCCTCTTCAGGGTTTGTTTTCCCGCGGCTACAGGATGGGCGAGGGCCTCGCGTCCACCCTGTTGATTCTACGAAGGCAAGCTCTTCCGGGCGAGACAGAGTTACCATCTTTGCTGGCCGCCTCGTGCCTTGACACGGGTGCCTGCCGTTTAGCAATGCCCAGACATGCGATGCCCCGATTATACTCTATTACGCGGCCCCCAGAAGTCCCGCCCGACCCGTTCGCCTGGGCCAGCTCTTCCTGGGCCGTTTTGTGACAGTGCCAGGGCCAAGTAAGGGCCCCCAGAGGCCGAACAATTGCCAAAATCATCCCGCCTCTTTTCCACGACTCGAGCATGTCCGAGTATCCCTTCTATTGACGGGGATGTAGTCGGTGTCACCCCAACATGCTGATACTGTGTGTGTCTGTCGCCTCCCAGGGGCGGCGACACGCGCGCTGAAAAATCTTCGTGGCGGGCCTTTTCAGGCCGCACCGCTCGGGAAGCGATGCACCACGGGATGACTGCACGATCTGTCCGTGTCGGGCGCACGCCTCCGAGGAGGCCACACGCAGCACCAGTCCGGTTCTGGCGGCAGGGCGCGGGGTCCATGTGGACCGGGGGCGCGGGGGCCGTGCTCGGAGGGCAGGCGCCCAGGCCCAGCAGATGTCCCGAGTCGCTGCGCGGGGGCCTCCTCCCCGTCGTGGGGCGGCCTTCCTGGGAGTCGTCGGTGCCTCCAGTCCTCCCAGAGTCGGCTGCGCGCAGGAGCAGCCCTTCGCCGGCGTGACCCCTGGTGCGGGCCCACAGGGGTCCCGCCCGCCCCGGCTGGCGCGCTTGGACTGCGCGGATGGTGCCTCCCCCGCGGCCCCCCAGAGCTGCGCACCGAAGGTCACGTTTGCCCAGGATCACTCTCCTGCGTGCAGCGCCCTGATGGAATCCCGTGCAGATGGGGTCGGCGGACCGCGCCGCATCGCTGATGCATCGAGTATGCTGCTCGCTGCGGAGCCCGATCTTTTCCACGCCAGCGCCGCGGATGCGTCGCTGATGCATCGACGATGTATCAACGATGCAATGTGAGCCTCAGGTCCCATCTTCTCGGACCCCATTTGGGAGGCCTCTAAAGCTGCCCTGATGCTTGCCTCACTGCGGATGCTGTCATAATCACTAGTAAGGACGCGCTGCTTCATCAAGACTCCCCTTGCATCCCTGCATCTTCGACCTATCCTGAGCCAGTGTTGACGTCTGGGCAGCTCTGAATGGTGTGTGGGACTGTCAAGGGTCTTGTGTCCTAACTTACCCTGTATCATTATTATGTTTTCCCTAACTGTAAGTGGGCGTCGTTTGCTGTTTCCCCCTTTTTGTTGTTTTCATCACCACGACAAGCCTACCAGGCCTCGGAAGTCGAGGCCGCCATGGAGAAGGTCAGCGAGGCCGAGCTGCCGTTCCTGAAGGGGATCGAGGTTCTCCCGCTGGCGTCGTCCCAGGAGTGCATCAAGGAGTCGGAGGGCGCCGCGGAGGCTGCGAAGGCGCTGATCGCGCAGGCGGCTCGCCCTTCCTGTCTGCTGCGTCCTGCCCCATCCCTTCTCTCGGTCTTCTGCTGGCACCGCAGTAGTTACGCGTGCCAGGTCACAACCTGCAGGGACAGTTTTCGGTCATTTGGGGCCCTCGCTGGGCCCCAGTACCGTCAGAAGACGACTCGGGATGAAAACTGGTGTCGAGATCTCCCGGGATCCACGTCCTAAACAAATCATGGTGTCGGGGAAGGTGGGTCTGAGTCCATGTAACGTCCCCCAGGGGCCGTCGCATTGAGCGAGACAATGGCAGTAACCAGTCCCGACTGCGGCCACCTCCATTCATTCCCCCTGCCCGTCCTTCACCCTTCCGTCCCCCTCAGCCCCCTCTCCAGGTACGCACCTACGTGGCCGGCAAGAACGCTGAGATCGGCCATTTCGACAAGGTCATGGGGGATCCTGCCAAGGAGGAGATGCTCGAGGTGACTCAGCGTATCAACACAGCCTCGCAGACGCTCAACCAGTTCTGGAAGGACTGGCCCCCTCTGCCTCTCTTCCTTCCTTGTCGTCGTCTTCGTCCCCCGCTCTCTAAATTTGGATCCTTCCTGGAAGGACCTGGCCGGCAGGAAGATGACTGCCAGACTACAGGAGACCGAGGTGAAGTTGGGCGAGCTGGAGGGTGATGTGAAGGCCGCCGTCGAGGTCGCTGGCCCCTTCATCAGAGGCGAGGCCGAGACCATGGAGGTGGAGGAAGCCAACACCATCTGCTTGAAATACATGGAGATGGAGAAGGTGGTCCAAGCCAAGGTGGGCGAGATGCGGGTGTGGCTGTCGACGACGCTGAAGGACATCCGGCAGAGTCCAGAGCACATGGAGAGCCTGAAGAAGCTGCAGGCGCAGTTTACCGCATACCAGGCCGACCTTGCTGGGGCAAAGAAGTCGACGAGCGTGCACGAGCAGTGCATCACCGCGAAGAGGATACACCAGGAGGTGGCCGAGATGTTGGGCGAGATGGAGGCCGAGGTGAAGAAGAGCACTGAGGCCACGGCGCCGCTGCTGGAGAGGGGCGGCGAGGACTTCCTCGTGGCCGCCAACCTCAGGGTCGTTGCTGGGGCCCTGCTCGAGTACATGGGCGAGAGGGGCCTCTCGATGGCTGCTCTGCTCAAGGAGGTGGGCGACGTTCCCGCGGACTTCGCTGCCTTCGTGGGCAAGCTCCCGGAGGTGCTCGGCAAGGAGGAGCTGGGCACCACCGAGGACAGGCGGGCAGCCATGTTCAGGCAGCTGGACAAGGACGAGGACGGCAAGCTCACCCTGGACGAGTTCGAGGCCCTGTTCGTGGTGAAGTATGTGTGCCGGAAGGAGGTGGCTGTGACCGACACTTTCGAGACGGAGGGCGCCAGCACCCTAGGGAAGCTCAACCTGGGCGACATAGTCCAAGGCGTTGGTCAGCCGCATACCGACGAGAGTGGGCTGGTGCGCGTCAAGTGCCGCCTGCCGGAGGGTGACGCGACCGGTTTCGTCACGGTGAAGGGTAATGCCGAGACCGTTTTCTTGGACCCCGTCACCGCCTTCTACGAATTCTTTGCCGAGGCGGAAAAAACAGTGGAAGCATGCGGCAAGGTGGTGGGATTTGAAGAAGCGCTTCATCCAATGCGTCCCACCCTCCTTTCCTCTACCAGCCCCACACCCTGCATTTTCCACAGCTTTTTCGCCAGGAGTGTTGGGCAACATGTGCGCGATGCTCGGGACGCTCAGCATTATGACAGGCAACGTTGCACAAGGGTTATCCCGGGGCAGCTAATAGGGAACCGAGGTGGCCCGCTGGGGCCCAGCCACGGTTAGCCATAGAGTCCCGCCCGCACGGTCCAATCCGTAGGATGGTCGAGGGGGGCTGCGTTGTGGTTGCTCACAAGGTCCTGGCCCACGGTGGTTTCGAATGCTCGCTTCCCAGACATCCGATGGACAAAGGTTCAGATTCCAACGGGACGCTTCAGATCCCAACCGGAACGGTTCAGATCCCAACCGAGCTTACTTGAGTTTCCAAGTGCTTGAAACGCTTCATCCGTAGCCATTTTGGCTCAAGGTTCAAGCATTTCGGCCAGAGCGACCGCTGCTCGAGTTATCTGCTGATTGCCCGCTTCACCTGCTTCCCACCGCGCCTGGTAAGCGTACAGACAGATGGCGCGTGTTGGCAGCCGGGGTTCCTCTTTGCTCGCATCGTGCGCTCTCTTTGCGCTGAGCGGTGCGTTGCTTTCTTGTAGAAGCTCTTTTGTCGCCCCTCCGTCCATTCGTCAGCAGGATGCGCAGAGCTTGCAGACCAGCGGCCTGATGGCAGGACCAACGGTAGTCGACTTGAAGGCAGGGCACCGGACCGCAATGCAGTTCTTCTCCGGGGAGCCGACGCCGCCGCCAAAGCCGAAGGAGAAGCCCTTCAAGCTCCCGCCGTTCTTCACCACTCTCGCATCCCTGGCCGTCGTCATCGGCGGCTGCGCTTACTTTCTCAACAACGCCTAGTAGGGGCCGAGTTGCGTGAGGGGCCCGTGGTACTGTTGCCAGTGGATGGCACCGTCCTGGCTGATCACGCCATGGCAGAGGTCATGTTGTTTGAACAGGGGGGTGGAACAACGCACGATTTTCCTCTCGCTGGCCTCCAGAGTGCCAATTTTCGTCAGAGTTTTAGAAATGCGCGAACTGTCTATGCCTGCACTTCCCGCGATGCTTAGTTGCTGCCGCCCGGCAATTTGAACCTCAAAGCCTACTGTTCTGCACCGTGGGCGACGCAAGATGGAGAATGTCCGAAACACCATTAAAAAAAACGCTTGAAACGCTTCATGGCGCCTCATGGGCGCTTCCTAGCAGGGGGTTCCTAGAAGGCGCCTGCTCGGCTTCGTGGACGACTCCCGTGGATTCCTTTCAGATTTCTTGCGGGATTCCTGAGGATTCCTGAGAGATTCCGGAGAAATTTCCGAGGATTCCTCAGGGGTTCCCGAGGATCTTGAAGGATTCCACAGGGATTCTTCCGCATTTCTCACGGGTTCTTCAGAGAATCCTAAAAACGATTCCCCCGGATTCCACAGGGATTCCTCAGTGATTCCTTGGATTCCTGTGGGCATCTTGGAGTGAGGTTTTCCCGAGGGATTCTTGACGGGCGCTGTGTGCTCATCGATTCCTGCGGATCCTGGACGGATTCCTGAAGCTTTTCCCGTGGTTTCCAGGGGGGTTCCTCCAGGTTCCTGAGGGAGTCTTGAGGGATGGCTCATGGATTCCTGATGACTCCGCATGGACTCCTGAAGGACCCCCGAACGATTTTTAAATGATTTTGAAGATCCTTGCAAAACCTCTCGGGATTCGAAGGTTCGTGAAGGAGTCCTCGCGGTTCCAAAACAAATCTTGGGGAATTCCAGAGCGATTCCTGAAGGATCCCTGAGAGACTTTTCAAGGGCTCCTGAAGATTCTTAGGAGACTCCCAAGGGATTCCAGAGGGTTCCTGAAGGATTCTTGACGAATGTCCTATGGATTCCTGATGATTCTTCATGGATTCCTGAAGGATCCCCGAAGGGTTCACTCTTGGGACAGAGCGCGTTCTGTAGGTGTTTGGAGGGGGGGGGTCTGGAACCGCCCCACCCCTCCCGGTTCAAAGGCCCCCCCCTGCCCGGGCCTGCGCTGGCGTGGGCGTGGGCCGGGGCCGGGGCCTGGGCGTGTGCGCGGGGGTGGGCGTGGGCGCGGTCGTGTTCGTGGACTTGGACGTGGGCGTGGGCGTGGGCGTGGGCGCGCGTGTGAGCGTAGGCGTGGGCGTGGGTGTGGGCGTGGGCTTGGGCGGGGGCTTGGGCGTGGGCTTGGGCGTCGGCGTCTGAGCGTTGGCGTTGGCGTGGGCTTGAGCGAAGGCGTTGGCGTGGGCGTGGTCGTGAGCGTGGGCGTCGGCGTCGGCGTGGGCGTCGGCGTGGATGTCGGCGTGAGCTCGGGCGCGGGTGTGGGCGTGCGTGTGAGCGTGGGCGTGGGCGTGGGCGTGGTCGTGGGCTTGGGCGTGGGCGGGGGCGTGGGCGTGGGCGTGGGCGTGGGCGTGGGCGCGGGTGTGGGCGTGCGCGTGCGGGTGAGCGTTGAGTCCATCATGGATGCATTGTTATTGTAGTGGCCTCCGGCCAGTGCCGCCGATCCGGGGTGCTACCGATTCTGCTTGCAACGGATGGCCTTTTATGTTGTAAGAGAGAGCACTTGTTCAAGACATTTTCATAAGATAGAGATGTTGAACTCGCTTGGGCAACTTTCGGATATTTTTGGCTTCCTGAGGGGCATGCAGGAGGCATCCTGGGGGCCTCCTGGGGGTGTGTAGGAGGTAAGTTTTATGGCTTCGGGGGCCCTTTTGGGCGCCTTTTGGGGGCCTATTGAGGGCCACTTGGAGCCTCTCAGGGTTTCTTGGGGACTCCTAGTGCCATTTTGGTGCCTCCTGGGCGCCTCTTGGGCCGTCTTGGGCCCTTCTGGGGCCGTCATGGAGCCTTCTTGGGTGCTTCTTGGACCCGTCCTGGGGCCCGCTTGGGCTGTCTTGGGGGCCTCCCGGGCCGTCTTGGGCCCTTCTTGGGCCGACTTGGGGCCCTCTTGAGAGCCTCTTGGCCTGTTTTGGGGGTCTCTTGGGCCGTGTTGGACACTACCAAGGCCGAAGAAGCGAACATGTACAAAAATACACGTTTTCCTGAGGGAATGGGACAGATGTTCCGTCTTTGGGCACTCTTAAGAGGTGTCGGGAGGGCACGTTGGGGGTTTCTGGAGCCGTCTGAGGAACATAGTGAGTGTCTTGGAGCGATGTTTCGGCCACTCAGGGCCTTCTTGGGCCGTCTGGGCGGCCGCTGCGTTTTTATGAACCCGCGTTCGAGCTCTCCGGGGCGAGGGGCTGGCCCGGAGTGACCTGGAGCTCCGATTTTGCTACCAAAATTGATTCGGAACCAACCAGGATGCACTTTTACTTGCCGCACCTTGTCATGTGCCCCCACCTAGGCGGCGCGCGGCCCGCCGGCGCAGCGGCCCAGCTGCTGCAACAGTCCCCGCCGGCGAGGTTGGCCGCGCCAGCCCACACAGGGACGCGACCCGTCCGCCCCTGAGTGGCCCTCGCCCCTCTCACCCTCTGCGGCCTCCCGTCCTGTCCTGTTTTCCCTTGCTTGCATGCTGACTTATTCTCTGCAGCGGCGCCTCCGTTTAGCTCATTCCGCCAGCGCAGACGACCTCTGCTTCGCCGCCGACGGAAAAGCGTGTGAGCGTTGGCGTGGGCATGGGCGTGGGCATGGGCTTGGGCGTGGGCGTGGGCATGGGTTTGGGCGTGGACTTGGGCGTGAGCGTGGGCTTGTGCCTTGGCCTGGGCACGGGCGTGGGCGCGGGCGTGGGCGTGGGCGTGGGGGTGGGCATGGGCGTCGGCGTCGGCGTCGGCGTCGGCGTGGGCACGGGCACGGGCACAGGCACGGGCGTGGGCGTGGGCCTGGGCGTGGGTGTGGGCGTGGGCGTGGGCGTGGGTGTGGGTGTGGGCGTGGGTGCGGGCGTCGTCGCTGCCAGCCGCCGCCGCCGCCGCCGCTGGTGCCGGCGCGCTGGGGCCTGCGCCTGGGGGGCGGGGGGGGGAGCGGTTCAAACGCGCCGCCGGAGGCTCCCAAAGCAAGCGCCCGTGAAACGCGCCCCTTCATTCTTGGAGATCCCTGTGGGTTCCCGAGGAATTCGAAGGCTCGTGTCTGGAAGGATGCCTGGGGGATGTCTGGGCGATTCTTGAATGATCCCTGAGGCATTTCTTGAGGATTCCTGGACATTCTTGGAAGTTTCGTGAGGGATCCCGGGTGGTTCCTGGAGATTCTTGAAGGATCCTTGAGGACTCCCTAGGGATGCCGATCGGATTTTGCGAACATCTGGGAAAATCCCGGAGAATATCTTTGAAGAGTCCCATCGGGATTCCGCTCGGATTCCCTAAGGAATCCTCAAGGATCCCTGGGGCATCTTTGGGGATTCCTTTAGGATTCCTTCGAATTCTTGCAAAGTCCTTGCGATTCTTGCCGACTTCTGTTAATTTTTGAAGAGTCCAACGGAATGTTTGAGGATTTCTTTTCGGGTTCAGGATGGATTCTTGTGATTCTCTTAAGTTTCTTGGGTGTTCCTGCGGTCTTTGAGGATTCTGGAGATTTTTTAAGGATTCTCACAGATTCTTGACGGATCCCGGATGGCTACCTGACGGTCTATGAATCGCTTCTGGAAACATTCTCGATGATTCCCAAATCATTTCTGATGGTTTCTTCAATGCTTCACGAAGGAGTCCTGAGAGTTTCCTAAGGAATTCCTTGGACATTCCTGGAGGATTCCCAGGGGATTCTTTGGCAATTCCAGAAGGAGTCCTGAGGGATTCCCCAAGGACTCCTGAAGATTCGTCGAAGATTTCTGAGGGATTCCTAGGGGATTCCGGGTGGTTCCTGAAGATCAGAATCCTTGCAATTTCTTTCGGGTTTCAATCAGATTGTTGACGCTTCGCGTATCCCCACCAGCTGCGACCCCCGAGGAGATCAAAGAGGGATCTTAGCGGCGATCAGCTGCGACCCCCGAGAATGACCCAAGAGAATGACCATGGCCCCTGGCCCCCAGACTCGGGGCCAGGCCGAGGGGAGGGGCGTTGCTTCCCCTCGCTTCTCCCCTCTCGGGACAGGCGGGTGTCCCCCGCCCTTGGCCCGGGGGCCTGCCAGACGTCCTGTCAGACGTCGGTGTGGTTGCCCCCCCTCCCAGGGCCGCCCGTGTTCCGCGCTGCTCGTGGTCTGGCTACTCTCAGCGGCGGTTGCTTCGGCCCTGGAGGACCACGTGGTGTGTGTAGGCTCACGGGTCTGGGGGGAAGTGCCAAGCGGCGGACTGGGCCAGACTTTGCCTCCTGACCCCCGTGTCTACCACAGTGCAGCTCCCCCAGGTGCTTCGCCCGATGACACCGCAGCGCAGCCCCCCCCTTACCTCTTCTTCTTCGCCGGCGATGCTCACCACGCCAGCGGGCTCCCCCACTCCCACTCCCAGTGGCCGCACCGTGCCGGCGCGCGCCGGATGGCTCACAATCGCACGGTACCCCCCCGACACTGTGATGTGGCCCACTGAAACTGGCCAGTGCGTTGAGTGGTTCAGCCTTCAGCGTCAGGTACAGCCTTTCAGACCCACCTTCAGACCCCCTGTGCGCTGCATCGCGGTTCACGACTGCTCAGCCGGCTGGCTTACGCAGGTCGTCCGTTTGGAGTGTGGCGCCACATCGGCGACTCACTTCTGTGGCCATCCCATTTTCACCTTGCACAGTGACCCGCCCACTGAGGTCTGGGTTTCTGCGCTAGTCATGCGTTGGCCATTTGAATTCTGGTCATTTTGTCCAGTGCACGTGCCCGTGCTAGCAGTACGTCAGCGAGCTCAGCGCCACCCAGCCTGCAGCTGCCGTCTGAGGTGGCCGGCCGCGTTTCTGTTTTAGCCAATTAGCTTCGCCCGTGGCCCGGACGTCGCCTTCGCCACATGACCGCTGTCTTCGTGGCCGCTGACCCAAACAAAATCCCCACCAGCTTTCGTGACCCGTAGCGCTCCAGACTCCGCTAGCGCCTTCACTGGTGGACGCGACCGAAAAAAGTATCCCCACCAACCCATCCAGAAACTATGCCCAGGAGAGCTGACGGGAGAAGGGAGGAAGAGACGCACATTGTGAAACAGCGTGGGCAACAACGGTGAATCGGGAGATCTCTGGTAGCGAACGGTACGGGTGCTGTTGTTGGTGTTGTTGCTGCTGCTGGTGCTGGTGGTGGTGGTGGTGGTGCTGCTGCTGGTGTTGCTGGTGGTGTTGTTGGTTT